AAAAAAAAACTGACCTGCTACCCTCTATGTTGAAGGAAAAGACCAATTTCGGGGCTGATTTAATTCTTCATTAATTACTTCGGTCATACTTACTGGCCAAGCCCCTTATAAACAGGTGCTTTCTCACGGCTTTGTGGTTGACGAAAAAGGAAGAAAAATGTCAAAATCTCTGGGGAATGTCCTAGACCCCGAGGATGTTCTGAAACAATTTGGGGCAGATATAATTCGCTTATGGGTAATTAGTTCCGATTTCAGCAAAGAAGTAAAAGTCAGCGTCCCCATTTTAGAGAACTTGCGAGAAAGTTATCAAAAAATACGCAATACTCTTCGTTTTTTGCTAGGCAATTTAGCCAATTTGCCGCCTAACCTAAAAAGTGAAAAAGATTTAGCATTTGAATTACATCCAGTGGACCATTATATTCTTCATAAATTAGAAAAACTAACCAGCGAAAGTCAAAAAAAATATAGTGAATACAATTTTAATCCTATTTACACCTCTTTGTTAAATTTTTGTATTAATGATTTAAGTTCTTTCTATTTTGAGATTATCAAAGATAGTTTATACTGCGATAGCCTTTCTTCCCTGCGGCGACAGCAAATTATTGCTACTCTTTATTATCTTCTACAAGGGCTACTAAAAATTATTTCTCCGATTTTTCCTTTTCTGGCCGAAGAAATTTATCAAAATATTCCCTTTTGTTTTGGTTTCGCCGGTCAAGAAAGCATTTATTTGGACAATTATTCGCCAACTTTGCTTTTCTCGCCTTCTTTGGAAAAAGAAATAGCAATAATCACCAAATTTTTTTTACCTTTGCGACAAGACGTTCACCAAGTCTTAGAACAGGCCCGGCAAGAAAAAATTATTAATACTAATTCTCAGGCTTATTTGATAATTTTTTTAAAAGAAAAAAGCGGACTAGATTATTCCCAACTAAATTTAGAGGAATTATTGTTAGTAGCCAAAGTTGAAATTAGAGACGAGCGAGAGGATGATGCATGAGAAAGAAATTTTTCCGCTATTAAGGTGAAAAAAA